AGACACATCGGCAACAACAAAGGTACGGCACCAGCAGAACATGCAGCAGTTGTGCAGAGTTGACAATATATTATATGTAATTTATAATCTCAAGAGTATGCGGCACTTGGCTAATTATCCATTCTTCTCTGCTTTGAATGCTGCAGTTACCGATCGATTGTCATCTTCCCTATTCCACGAGCTAGTCCGAACAATATGGCATGAGTTGCAGAAATCCGGAACCCTGCAAATCACCACAAAAGAACGGCCACAACGACATGATGCACCGGAGGCTGCAGCCATAGCATACCATGCTGGATGGTGCATTGTAGCTGTGCGGAAAAGGATATGGCACAAGCAAGGACAACGAGAAAACTTGCGGGTACTCAGTCAATTTGGAGTGGATGTGCGTCTGGCGCAGGGCTGCCGGGTGTCTAAGATAGAACTACTTACGAGTGAGGATGATTCAGTTCTTCATGGAAATGGGCAGCCAGCCGAGTCTGTAGAAGAGGATGTTGCAGAGGTAGAAGAGGTGGTCGAAGAAAGCGTAACACACGATGTGGCGGTTGCTGAAGTTGTGACGGTCAATGATGAAACATCCAGAAGCTTGTCAGCAGTGTTGGCAGCAGATGTATTCGAATCGTTTGATGACATAGAAGACGATCCACTCCTGCAGGCATGCAACCACACAGAAGAGAAGCAAAATCAAGGGAAGCACGTCTTCAAGCTGAAGTCAGATGCATTAGCAATGTTCCAGCAAATGCACGAGTTAACAGAGTCGAGTTTCCATGCTCTTCTGGCTAAAGAGCGCAGCACTGCACTGCCTCTCCTGAAAGCAAACCTTCTTGCAGATCAAGGCATCTGGAAGCAGTTCCACAGGCTCACCAACACTGATGACAAATCAATGTTGGTGGCGATCATCGATATGTTTGTCAAAAGCAAACAGAAGCAGATGCTGAGGAGATTCAACTTGGCCCCAAGGAAATCCTCCCAGGCCCTACGTGCCAGTGTCAAGCCAGGGAGCAATGCTGCCAGCAAGACAGCCAATCCTGACTCTGCCAGCATCCTCACAACTGGTACTGTGAAGCAACTTAAAGACGCATTGCGCAGTAATGGTTTGCCCGTGGGAGGGACGAAAGCTGACCTGATCAGCAGACTTTCCTCCCACCTAACCTCCTTGGAAAAGGAGAACTGCGAGCCAAAGTAATGAATCAGATAAGTAGTATTTATTTTATGTCTCAATCTCCGTCTTCGCCACCACGGTGTTATGCTGCAATCGTCGTAAATATCTCCCCAATTTTTTGCCCTGGGGGCTTCATCATATCACATCGTATCATAATTATAGTATTTTTCCCACTGAACATTCATATTTCCTCAACCTTATGAATAGTGATTCGAATAGATTACAAGTTTTTCCTGTTATCTGCACCGCCTCCATCATGCTTGCATTGTAAATTATTTGCTAAGGCCTAAGGAGGCCTTCCTTTTCCTGCGTCGATATTGTCATTTTCGATTCGTTTTTGGTACACTTTTAAGTTTTCCAAAAACAAACATACTGTATTCATCTAATGGACACTCAAATTTTCTACTTTTGCCTTTCACAGCCTTTTGTTAAAAGTTAAAGTCCACAATCCTGCTCTACCCTTTCTTTAAGCTCCAAACATCTAAATGCCAAGCAAATGAAATAAATGGTGGACTGTTCGTCTGTTCGTCCTAACTAGTAACTTACAGGTCATTTTCCCTTTATTATTATTATTATTTTGCTTGTTCGCGTTGGCATCAACCTGCATAAAGCAGGTATATAGCCTTCGCTTAAGCTGCCATAAAAAAGAAAGCTCATCCTAAGCGAGAGGGCTAGAGGGAAATATAACGATAACGAGATACAGAATACAAAGAAATCCAATGAGTTCAACGTACAATTCAAAACAAGAAAGAAAGGGAAGAAAAACAGAGCCGAATCTACCGATTGATCCATCAATCGACAAAGTACAAATGAAATATTTATAGTAAAGAAAAAGGATCAAGGAACTACAAGTTAGGCTATAATGTCCACTAACACCACCAGTTACTTGACAATCAGCTAATGCGATAACATTGCACGACACTGACCGACGGTACCGACGTTCTACAACTAACTGGCTAACAGCTCTAGCACGTCTTGGGTGCGCAATCCAACAGCCTTCCAACTTGACGTGCTAGAGGTGATAGCTGATGATTGGCTCTCCATCCGAGTCTAAATGAAATATTAAAATTAATATCAATTTCCCTTTTCCATTCCCTCAATTGGTGAAAAAATTAATATCCGTGTATATTGAAGTACACACGCAAGTCACTTACTGTTTCTGGTGTGAATCCTTAGAAGTTGCCACCGTCCTTGCATGATGAGGCTTGAGAGGCATTTGAGCTGCACCCGTACCCAGATTTCTACCCATGACATGAGTCTGATTGAGACACAGGCCATTGTACCCATACGCTTTGCATGTCATGTTGCTATTGCAACCGCCAATGCTCCTCTGGAGTCCAAAATACCCTTCAAGGAAGTCTTGATTTATGGTTTTCGGTATCACATAGAGAGGTGGTTCCAAGCTATGGAACTTTGTGGCAATGAATGCTACAAGGCTCTGCAAGCCTTGGGCTGCAAAAGTCACATCCTCATGTAACTGAGGGGAAACAAAAGATTTGGAGCCACCAGAAGATCCTGCATTGCTTTTCCAATCATTCAGCCATTGGCTTACGGATGCAAGTTTGACCAGGCGGGGGTCTGATGGGTCTACCAACTTGGTGCTTGAAGAAAAGATATCCACAAACATTTTAACGTTTTCCAAGTACTTCCGTACTCCTACCGTTCCAGCAGGATCACTGGTCTGCATTTCATCAATGACACACTGCTGGAAGACATCAAATGCCAGCCCAGCACGCATTTTGCTGTAGCTAGAAAGGTTTACATGTTCCTTTGTGATTCTTGTCAAACCCACTTGGCGCTGACTATCCCTCTCGTTCACCTCCCTAATCTGCTTCCACACTATGCTATACCCTTCAACCTGCAGGTGCCTCGTGAAAGACGCTCCTTGACCACTTTTCGAAAGGTTGTTTCGGAACTTCTTTACAATGTGTGTAGGGTCTGATATGACGAATATAGGGTGCAAAGATTTCTTGTTGTAGTATGCACCGGAGCTATCCTGAAAGCTACGCAAAAAACCACGATTGCTACCACCACCGTCACAACAAAGGACAAGCACATCAAACCCAAACCGGTGAAGGCTTGAAACACCAGCATCAATTACATCTTCCAGTTGATACCCCTTCATAGACTTAGTGAAGAAGTAGCAGCATGGAAAGAAAAATTTAGAAAAGAGGCTCTTGAAGGAGAACTGCAGAACATGGGTAGCTAACAGGTCTTCCACTTCACCCTCTTCACTATCAGGATAACACCCACTGTCCACGAAGCCTACAAGGGTATCAGAACGTTCGTCCCATACAAGGCCTTCTTTCACCTTAACTTCGTCAAAGTAAAGTCCACCCATAAAGGCTCGGTCATGTCTGCCTTTTCCCTGGCGAAGAAACTCATCATAGCTCTCTCTCATATTTCTGAGTGAATGTTCATGCCAACCGCTTTGAGGCTGGTTGAAGTTCCGGTACCTCAATATAGTCCTGCCAGACGGAAGTTTCAAAAACCCAGACTCCCGCATACTTTCGTACGACTGAGCAGACAGCGCATGTTGCTGCATACACCAGCGAAGCACTGATGGGTGCCAGCGCATTTGATGACTAGGTGTCACTAGGGCACGTGCCTGGTCAGCCAACAAAAGGCTAAAGAAAGCATCTTCAGGTTTACCTGTGTGCAAAAGCAAGTGTGTTTCACACAACTTTCGTGACCGAAAAGGACCGGATTTGCAATCTTTCCATTTACAAGTGTAGGATGGGTGCAATTGCAATGCACTATTTCGAACGTGGTCAAATTTCAAATGATGCACAAGATCTTTTATTTCCGAAAAATGCCTTTTACAGCCTTCCCACATGCATATTGGGTTTTGCACTCTGTCGTGTATGATGTCCATACCGTCTTGAAGGTTTTTAAAAACCTCTGAAAAACCATCATCCACAGACGAAATCATTTCGTCCCTCATTTTCTGCAGCCGATGAAAGTTTCGGCTGAGTTCCTCAAACCGTTTAGCCTCAGAACGCAGGCGTAGAATTAAGTCATCACGTGACAAATGTATAAAGGCAGTGTGCGGAGAAACGGGTGTGTCCGAAAGCCGAGAGAGTGCTTTCCTCAGCGTTCCGTCAAACAATTTACAAGCTGCACACCTGGACCCAGCAGCTATCAGGTGGGGACAGACAACAGTTCGAATGCAGCGTTGTGGCACCCAGGCTTCTTCAAGATTCGCTACCACCGTACCATCTGAACCCCGGAAGATACCACCTTCAGGACGCGTCTCCACTACCTTCTCATACTTATTGTAAGAACACCCAGAGCATTCACTGGCAGTTGCCAACATATGCAGAAGTTTGGAAAAGTGGTCAGCTGATGACACTACATTATCAGATACATCAAGCTGCAAAGGCACTTGTATCCCATACATGAATGTTGAAAAGGAAAGGTTAGGCAGGATTCTAATGCTACGTACAGCATGTGCGGGACTTCCACCAAAGTAAAATAAATGCAACCCTTCATTTCCCTCGTTATCCAACCGCCAGAGCGAAAAGGTTGAGGCATGCGAATAAAAGAACTCCGAGATTTCAGATAATCCAAAAGGCTTATGATCCGCAGTCTGATTGGGTGCAAATTCCCACGTAGCTAAAGCTAAATCGATATCGCGAAGAAGCGCACTCCTGTCCGCTTCGGTCATGCAATTCTTCAACGCATGGTGCAGAGTCCCTCCATGCCCCTGAATGATTTTCGAAACCAAGTCACTAAACCTGGCCCACCTGACGCGCCCACGATACTTTCCGGAGTTCGTTGACTTTGTCGGAGCTCGCTTCAGGTAAGAGGTTACCTGTGAAGGCGAAAGTTGATCCTTGCAATTCAAAATTCGATTTGCACCGTTCACTGCACGTTCAAAGGCCAGCAATGCTGCGTCCCGCGCTCTAAACGAGTTTGTGGGGAAGCTGGTCTGCAATATGCTGTACAGCACAAGTTCCCTACAGCATGGTGGGTCACCATTTTTCCAAGTGATTGGGTTACATGCTGGGTGCAGCTCAGCCTCGATGCAATGATTGCGTGAGTTGTCACCAACAATAGCTTCTTTCGATTGAATTCCTGAAACAAGAAGCAAGAAGAAAATTCACCCATTCACCCATACATATGAACTACTCCCCACTTCATCGTGCATGCAGGACAGCAATGCTGGAGCATGACCATCGTACCTGTTGTGCTATTCGTATCTTCATGTTCTCTTAAAATTCGCTTCAAAGGCGGATCAGCATCACCACGTGAGGTCCTATATTGACATATAAACAGAAAGAGAACAGACAGAACTTTGGTGTTTGAGTACCCAGGTATGGTGCTCGGCACACTGCAGCTATACATTCGTTTCGTATAGTTGTACTGAAAACCGCGGTGCTTTACTCGTCCCAAAAATAGTGACATTTGAAGATGAATTTGGCAATCAAAATTGCCTCCTAACGTTTCCATTTTTTTAGGGATAAAACGAGAAGTTATGTAGATGCTATTAATCAACAGTTCATAAATCCACGTCTTTGCCGAGTGGAAATATATGCTTGCTAACATGATGTATTTTCAATATGTGCAAATGTGCATTCACAACAAATTCTGAAAACAGGCAATAACTACACGAATTGTCCCTGTTTCCGACTTATAGTAATTAGGTTAACTTATATTTGCACGATACAGCGAATCCAAAGAGTCTATCCACTTGTTACAGCTATACAAAAGTACGAACTTGAAAATGTTTTTAGGCTCTGATTTCACCACGACGTTCAGCAGAGTTTAGTTAGATCGCTGTGCTAGTGTGTGGCGACAGCCTTTATCTTCGCCGGAAATACTCGTTCAGAGTGTTCAAACTTGGTCAGACTTCAGGAAACATGTTCATTCGATCGTCATTTTCAATAAATTTTGACATCACAAAACACTCTTACCTTTTACCCAAAAGCTGAGCCTGGGAAACATTGGCCGCCATCCTACTTGCGTCAATGACCACTCAAGGCCATATTGAAGTGTCACAGCAAGCCAGCATATGATAAGATGACTCTCACAAACGATATTCAGCATCGATTAACTCTTTTCATCAATATCAATATCTGTACTGATGTGTGATGAGAACTCTCAGCTACTTTTTTTTTTTTTGAATGAGTCAAACGTCATGCACAGTTTCTGTGCCCGTGTCACCTCCCGGTATGTGTAGGGCTCCCTGCTGTCGACGACATGTCCGGCAAGGCACCTCCTTGCGTGAAAGCAAGGAACCCTTTTTTTTTAGAAAGGAAGCTTCTTCTCCAAAATTTAAAATTTTTGAAAATTATTCCTTCTGAAAATATCATCGCGTTCTTGACCTCGAAGCTGACTGCTGAATGCGATTAGGAAAGAAGATTCCTGAAGATACACCAGACTGATTCTGGCAAGCCGTCTGTCGTCTAGATATGCAGTTGTTCGTCATGCATGGTCAGCAATCTTCCTCGTTCGTCCTTTCGTTTTCCTGACCACGATGATGACAAGCAGCTCTCATGCTCAGGTTAGTGCTGTACTTGTATGTCTGGGCACACAACACATCTGAGATTCACCCACTGACGTTATCGAACTGAAGAATGCAGCAAGGGTTCCTCGGATTCTCTTGATTTCGGAACAAATTTCCTTCACTTTCACCCTCTCAGTCTCTTCCCCATGCCCTCCATGCATGCACAATGCAGCTTGCATTTCAATTGCTGTTTTTTATACTTTGGCAGTGCCTCTGCTACACTTTCATATAGAGTGAGGTCCTGTAAATAGGATCGAACATTGTTGGTGGTGGTGTGTGTGTGTGGGGGGGGGGGGGTACGTTTGCAGCCAGGATGTAGGAATGACACTTCTGCACAGCAGGTGGCAATAGTCAAAACTGGTCACTCTACAAATCCCATACCTGCCAACCTTTGCAAACCTGAGATCCAATGACATACCTAGGCATGAAAATGTATACAAAAGAAGCTCGCGGTGAGGCATGGAACTAGTGCACTTTTGGGTGCCTATTACCGCCCTCGATATCGGGACGGTCCCGGCCAAATCGGAATGGTTGTCAGGTATGAAATCCCAACCGAGAAAACCATTTAATTAAAAGATAAACTCGGCCAGGACATAGCGACTTTCTGTTTGCCGGGGGGGGGGGGGGGAGGGTCATCGTCCGCAATATTGGTAGAGTTACGGTTACATTGTATATGTAGATACATGTGCATCAGGGATTCATAGCACCTGGGGAGACGACATGAGACCTAAGTACCCAAAACGTTGTGAGTTGTGACCCCGGATGGGGTAGTTCTACGTGATCTGTGTTTCTATAGACCTTATTCGATAACGTGATTTTTGGACTCGCCTCCAGGGATTTGTTGTAAGCTGGGGCACGCGTACGTGAATCGAGTGGCAAGAAAGGCCCAGTTCGTACAAGGGAGTAGTAAAATACCGGTATTTTCTACTCCTATGTTCCCACGCCGAGTCCACTGTGCACTGAGTGCAGGTCTCTTGCCGCTCCCTGGTTCCCGGGACCCTGGTTCACGTGATTGTGACGTTTATTGAATAAGGTCTACATGTATATGCGGGCATGCATAAATCAACCCTTCCACAAGGACGGCTCAAACAGGCAGCCAAGGAGTGAAAATTTCGCTCCTGGGGCTAGGAGTGAAACGAAGGCCTCAATTTGCCAGATGAACCTTCTCCATCGAAACGAACGAAGGTGTCGAATAATTCTTTTACCAGTTCACAGTTGCCGTTCACGCGCACTCCCCAGGGTGGGGGGGGGGGGCTACTATGCACTTGTAGTGATACTTACCGTAAGCCAAGTGGAACACGACTAGTTGACTGCACAGACTACAGTACAGTATACATGCACATGTGTACAGTGAAGATCAGTGCATGGATGCCTGCCATAATCGTATGTTGACCTTCGTTCGAATTGAAAAGAGAGGGTCGTTTCGAAAAAGAAAAAAAGCTCGATGGAAGTATGATGCTGCTGACAATTCAAGACTCACTGAAGTCGCCTTTCTGGAATGGATCATGCACTCTAGGTACATCCAATTGGATATGGACTCAAATCATTGTTACACCATTATTGTTTGGTTAGTTATTGTACATCCCATAGCATGTACAATCAACCTTGTGAATAATCTACCTCGGGTTTACAAAACAACTCGCAAATAACGACACAATCTTCAGATCTAGTGAACATTTGATTGCATACTTCCAACCTCACGAGTAACAACAATGCGAATAGCGACACTTTTCTCATTCACAATCGAGGGTCAGTATTCCCCAGGTTGACTGCAATTGCCAATCAAACAGGAGGGGCGAAAGTCGACCACGGCTGAAAAGGCATAAAGAAAAATTAATGTATATCATGAGCTAGATGGCTGAAGGAGGAAGTAGGTTTTCTGAGAAAGCAAGAAACAGAGGTGAATGAAGCACCAGGTCTGTCCATGCAGTGGATAGAATTATTGCATTGAAAGACAGGCTCTTTACATCAGCTTGCTACTATTATACCTACATTTGCTTTCTGCCTTTTTCATGCAGGATTCTGAAAGCTGGAGCAGCTCTGCTTACCTCGACCACTGAACTTACAACTAACTTCCAACCAAGTACAAGGCAATATTATGATGAATCAAGCACGCTTGCCATCATGTCGTCATTGCAAAGTACATCGACAACATAGATTTGGTGCCGACTATGTATGATGTAGAGTGTGCTCTATGTATCTATACTACTGATTGGCCTACATTGTACTTATGTGGGCTGAGAGTAATCGATTGTGCTATATGGCAGTTTACTTGTATGTCATAGATGTTAACATTGCACACAGCTTCTGAAATGCTTTCTGTTGCACTGGCCTACTGCGGCCCACTGCAAATAGATTGTAGTGGCATGGGCCATGCCATAATTATAATAGTATACCGGTACTACACCAACAATTTCACTGGTGCACTGTACTTACTGGTACGAGTAGATCTACATCATGCACAGCCTTGTCACTGCTTTTCTCATTTTTTATTAATTTACTGTACTGTACACATTTTGGCACAGCTCTTCCACAAAGAGTTACTAGTATTTTCTTCTGCATACCTACTGTATACAGTGACCTGACTGGTAACATCTATGGCTGTGAAATCACAAATTTCTGGGTTGACAGCCTCGAACCTATACGATTTGTTTCTAAGAACGTGCTATAAGAAATTTTCTATTGAAGTATTCTACTGTAGCTCGCAGGACATGGAGTGCAATTACGTAAAGTTTGGAACACCACTCTTCTGTGATTTGGATGTCAAATTATGAAATTCAGTGTGTGAGGTAAACCCATGCATGGCATACACTGCTATAGTATGACTCGGGGTAAAGTGTTCCAACGCATACTCATTATAGTGAATAGTTGTGTGACCAACGTTGTTGCTGCTGGATAAATAGTACATATTCTGAGATAACTGAAGCTACACAGCCATCTAATGTTCAGACATGCATCGAAGGGGCCGTAACGAGATCTGCAAGGCATGATTCTATACCTGTATTTGATGCTCTCTAGCCTAGGACATTCACCTGCCTCATTTTCTCTGTGCTGCATTGATGAGTCCATTAGTAACTAAAGGACGAAACAGCATGCTGTCTGCAGATTGGTAATTGTGTAAAGACAGACGTGTATGTAGCGGTAAAGCTCAGATACATGTGCAACATAACAATCCCGGTGTTTGACAACAGCACAAACCTACACCGCAATTCTTAATTTTGGGCTGTGGTGTTCTTAGTATTCCAGGTTGGATGTTCTGTAGGCTTCCACGTTCTTGGGCGCACGACTTTACTGTGCCGAAGAATATTTTCAGCCAATGAACCCAGAGCTTGGTGGCAGATGAGTGCCATGGAACAGCCTTTTGCATGTGGCTTTCACTACATGCACATGTATAACGTTCAATTGATGCGGAAAAATCAGACGAGGACTTTTGCAGTTATGAGCAAGGTCCCCACGAATGGTCATGTCACTTCACAGAATATATGAACTGATAGAGTAGACCTCGGTCCCCTCAGAGAACGCTTGGGGAAGTCGGGTTCAACCATAGATTTATACTTAACAGAGAACGCTTGGGGAAGTAGGTTTCAACCATAGATTTATACTTAATATTCTTTACAACAAGGATCGATGTGTTCCTTCGGATGCCCTTTATCGACTTTCACACACTTCTCCTCTCTCCTTTCGTCATAAGCACCATCTCTGTACACTGGTTCATAAAATATTTCTTCATAAAACCCCTTCACACATAATGAAGTACAATTGGTTTTCGACAAGCTCAACCCGTAACGCGCTTATCCTGCCTCTTGTTAAGTCAGCCCGGTATCTAAAGCCCCCCTTGTTTTCCGGTTATTCTCATTGGTTAACTGGGGATATGTCCAAAACCATACTAAGTACTTGAGCTGCTCATGAGCCCCACAATTATCAGGCCCGCCGGTCTGGTTGGTCAGGTTATCACCAGACCAACTTGTTGGCCACCAACAAACGTTTCCTACCGTGGAGGACGTGTGTACCCGCCATGAAACTACCGGACCAATCAAAAACTGCTTCCGGCGGTACTGATTATAGTACAGGTTTAAGTTAAAAAGCGGCTCCATTTTGTCATACATTAAACCAACTCTGTCATTGCTATGCTACTCAAAAAGAGTAGTGATGTTTATTCACAAATGAATCACAATGCTATCAGAGAAATTCGATATTCTCCAATTTTAGGGGCACTGCAATACTATCCAAAATTAATGCTGCATGGTCATTGTTATGAAGCAGTCACCTCAGTACAGCAATTAAACAGGCTGATTATGTGAACGAGATTCACGGCAAATCTTCTTCCATCAGTGCTGTTCAGTCTTGAGTGGTCCACTGAGACAGGAAAACAACCTGTTCGGTCCTTCCATACGAGAAACAGAAATTGAACATGTTCCAGGGTGGAGGTGGCGAGTATCGGCAATGTAATGCACCTTTAGGCCAACATGACCATCATTCCGACATGGATTTTCAAACACCTTCGCTCGTGAGAGTGCCTCAGAGTGGTATTCATCAACAGATTGCAATC